GGTCGTCCTTGGATAAGCATCTTTATGTATGTGAGACGAGCTGTAAAGTCTCTTCTTCTTCTTCTTTATCTCACAGGGTGTCTGTTGTGGGGAGGTGGAGGGGAAGGAGTTTATAAGCCGCTCTGAGACTCCAAGTGAAAGGCGGGGTATAAATCCAATCTCTTCTCTTCTTCTTAAAATAAATATGATATTAACTTAAGAAGAAACTCTATCATTTTTATCTTATCAATCTTATTATTTAGTATAACATAAATAACCTCATAGACATTTTTATAAGATTTCACGCAACAGTCTGTTATAATAGTACTACTCTTCTTATTTCATATTAAAATCCCGCCCCCCCAGCACCAAAAATACAGAGCATCACTGCCCCACACATGAACACATGAAGCTGCCTGATACTGAATCAGACCCTTTGTCCATCAAAGTCAGTCTCGTCTACTCCGACTGGCAGCGGTTCTCCAGGGTCCCAGGCGGAGGTCTTCCACACCACCTCCAACTGATCCTTTTCAGTTGAAATGCCAGGGAACGAACCTGGGTCCTTCTGCACGCCAAGCAGACGCTCTGCCAGTGAGCCACAACCCCTTCCCACATGGTGTTCCATCTCTACCTTGTCTCTAAGAGCCACTGATGGACCTCTGCTCCAGATGTTTATCCACTCCCCTCTTGAAGCCCTCTGTGTACAACCCCCCCCTTCCTGCAGCAGTGAATCCCACGTGTGAATGACTCTTTGGATGAAGAAGGACTTCCTTTTCTCCGTTCTAAGCCTACTGCTCATTCGTTTCATGGAGTGTCCACGAGTTCTTGTATCGTGAGAAAGGGAGAATAGTACTTCTTTCTCTTTCTTCTCTGTCCCATGCATCATCTTGTAAACCTCTGTGATGTAAACCTCTACCATGTCTTATCATGTCATGGATCAGGTAGTAGGGGATGGGAAAGGCCTCAGCCTGAGACCCTGGAGAGCCGCTGCCAGTCTGAGTGGACAATACTGACTCTGATGGACCAGAGGTCTCATTTACTGTAAGGCATGTTAAGGGGAGGGGCCGTGGCTCAGTGGTAGAGCCTCTGCTTGGCATGCAGAAGTCCCAGGTTCAGTCTCCAGTTAAAAGGATGAGGTAGGAGGTGATGTACCTTACTTGAGACCCCGGAGAGCCACGGGGAGGAGCTGTGGCTCAGTGGTTCAGCCTTTGTTTGGCATGCAGAAGGTCCCAGGTTCAATCCCCCCAGCATCTCCAGGTTAAAAGGACCAAGCAGGAGGTGATATGTGAACAACCTCTATCTGACACCTTGGAGAGCCATGGAGAGGGATCATGGCTCAGTGGTAGAGCATCTGCTTGGCAAGCAGAAGGTCCCAGGTTCAATACCCGGCATCTCTAGTTGAAAGGATCAGGCAGCAGGTGATGTGAAGGACCTCAGTGGCTCAGTGGCAGAGCATCCGCTTGGCAAGCAGAAGGTCCCAGGTTCAATCCCTGGCATCTCTAGTTGAAAGGATCAGGCAGCAGGTGATGTGAAGGACCTCAGTGGCTCAGCGGCAGAGCCTCTGCTTGGCATGCAGAAGGTCCCAGGTTCAATCCCCGGCATCTCCAGTTAAGAGATCTGGCAGTAGGTGCTGTGAAAGACCTCTGCCTGAGGACCTGGAGAGCTGCTACCAGCCTGAATAGACAATACTGACTCTGACGGACCAGAGGTCTGATTCAGCGTAAGGCAGCTTCATGCGTTATATGATTACTTCTTTGTGTTTTGTTTTAACAAGAGAAACCCGTAGTAGGAAGGTTGACTCTTTCTTTTCCTTCCCTCTAGGGGCAGCTTCCCCAGGTCCTCTCCCGCCTCTTCCCTTTCAAGAGAGGCCTCTGCCACGCCTACTGGGCTCCTAACTTCTGGGCGCTGTACAATGCTTTGGACAAAGCACTCTCAGTTATCGGTACGGGACCTTACTTTTGTATGTCCAGGGTGTTGGGAGGTGGGGGTGGTTTGCATTTGTCTTGTTTAGAATATTTACATGCTGCCTCTCCGGGTGCCTGCCCGTTTTGATTAGCAAAAAGAAAACTTGAACATTAAATAATCCACATTTAAAATTGTATTCTTAGTGCTTGGGGGGTATCAGTGGGAGGGCTTCTGGTGTTCTGGCCCTGCTGGTGGACCTCCTGATGGCACCTGGGTTCTGGCCACTGTGTGACACAGATTGTTGGACTGGATGGGCCATTGGCCTGGTCCAGCATGACTCCTTGTATGTTCCTGTGTCTGGGGCAGTGATACTCTGTCTGCTTCGTCCCTGGGTGGGGGGCAACAGTGGGAGGTCTTTTGGAGTTCTGGCCCCACCAGTAGACCTCCTGGTGGCACCTGGCTTTGGCCACTGTGTGACACAGAGTGTTTGACTGGATGGGCCATTGGCCTGGTCCAGCATGACTCCTTGTATGTTCCTGTGTCTGGGGCAGTGATACTCTGTCTGCTTCGTCCCTGGGTGGGGGGCAACAGTGGGAGGACTTCTGGAGTTCTAACCCACTGGTGGACCTCCTGACGGGCCCTGGGTATTTGCCACTGTGTGACACAGAGTGTTGGACTGGATGGGCCATTGGCCTGATCCAACATGGCTTCTCTCATGTTCTTAAACTTGAATTTGCAGGTCTGAAATACAAATTCCTGGACCCAGCAACAATACCCAAGGCTTCCATGACAGGGGGGCTTGTCCAGGAATTCCAACACACGGTCCTTCCATCTGTGACTCCACTGGCTACCTTGGCCTGCACGGCGGTCTCCATACTGGTAAATACAAAACCCTGCCGCTTTGAGACCTATTTTATTGGCTGTGGCCCAGAAGCTAACAAGGGCAGGGTTGAAGCTCAGTGGTAAAGCATCTGCTTGGCATGCAGAAGGTTCAGGGGCCAGTTCCCAGCATCCCAAGTTAAAGGGATCGAATTCAATGTTCCCACTAAGCCGTGGAGCCTTGTGAGCAAAAATTCTACTTTGTGAGCTGCTGGCATTACAGTTGCGAGCGAGCGATTTGCTTACTGCATAAATTGGTTTGCTCTGGAGCCCTCCTTCCTGAGCTAAGACGAAAATGTGTGAGCCGGAGGCTACAAAACTTTGAGCTAGCTCATATTAACTCAGCTTAGAGGGAACACTGATCGAATTGTAGGTGATGCGAAAGACCAGCGCCTAGGAGTTGAGAAGCGGCTGCCGGTCAGAGTCAGAGCTGACCTCGATAGACCTGTGGTCTGACTCCGTTAGCAGCTTCACGTGATCCACGTGATTGTCTCTTTGATGAAACTGAAACTGCCCCCATATTCAGGACTGAGCCCATTCCGATCCCCGGCAGCCTATTAAAGCAGGACTGAGCCCATTCCTATTAAAGCAGGACTGCCGGTTGTTACCGATCTCGTTCCTACACTTTTAACGATTAGCCCAGCACTCGTAAACAGAATGGTCCAGACTTCCTTGCGTTGTACCGTTGCAATATGGAGGTACAATAGCAAGAAAAGAGCCAAGAGGATTCCACGAAACAGACTGGCAACCCTGGTTTTGCGTGGCTTGGCATTGCACGACTAGCACAGACCGGAAATGCTGTGCGTATTTTTTCAGTAGGTTCTGGAAGCTCTCAAATATTGCCAGAGGGCCTTTGGACAGCAACCTGGTAAACATTTCTGGATTTCCGCCTTCCTTGTAGATTCATGTAGACCCTGCCTTTCTTCCACCATTTTGCAATGTGCCTGGCACACCTTGGAGGCCTCTCATCCAAATGCCCTTCAGGCGGCAACCTGCTTCGCCCCACCAAGGATGCTGTGGCACATGACCTTGACCTTAAAGATGGCATTCCCCACCCGCCATGCAAAGACAGGTCTGTCACTTCAGGACAGAAGGAAAGACTACTTTACGCAGAGGGCGATTAAAATGTGGAATTCTCCGCCAGAGGATGCCGTGATGGCCACAGGAATAAAATAGCTTGAAAGGGGATTAGATAGATTCCTGGAGGATACGTCTATCAATGGCTACTAGCCATGGTGACCGAGGGAAACCTCCACATTCAGAGGCATTAAACCTCTGAATCCCAGAGCCCAGAGGCAACATCAGGGGAAGGCCTCGGCCTCTGTGCCCTGCTGTTGGCCCTCCACCCCTGTGTGAGACAGGATGCTGGACTAGATGAACCCTCACTGGTCTGACCCAGCAGGGCTCTTCTGAGGTTCTTATCAGGGGAAGGCCTCGGCCTCTATGCCCTGTTGCTGGACCTCCAGAGGAACTGGCTGGCCCCTGTGTGAGACAGGAGGCTGGACTAGATGGATTCTCACTGGTCTGATCCAGCAGGGCTCTTCTTAGGTTCCTATCAGGGGAAGGCCTCGGCCTCTCTGCCCTGCTGTTGGCCCTCCAGAGGAACTGGCTGGCCACTGGGTGAGAGAGGATGCTGGAATGGATGGACCTTCAACTGGTCTGATCCAGCAGGGCTCCTCTGAGGTTCTTATCAGGGGGAGTCCTTACTTAATTGTAACCTTTATTTGCAAAGCAGGCTTATAGAAGCAAGTGCCTGGCAACCACTTGTCTATTGGCCTAACAGAAATATGAGTGAGTGAGTGAGTGAGTGAGTGAGTGAGTGAGTGAATGAATGAATGAATGAATGAATGAATGAATGAATACGGAACTTCAGATGAATGAATGAATGAATATGGAGCTTGAGTTGAATGAACGAATACAGCGCTTCAGTTGAATGAACCAGTATGGAGCTTTGGATGAATGAATGAATCAATCAATCCATACAGAGCTTCAGTTGAATGAATCCGTATGGAGCTTCAGATGGATGAATGAATACGGAGCTTCGGTTGAACGATAGGTCTGCATACTTGATGCTGAAATTGGCACTGAAGCTTTGTTTCTGCCTGTTGTTTCTAGCCCTCTGTTTTCTGTCTTTGGTTTAAACCCCAAGGGCCCAGAGGCTTCCTACGGTGCCTGGTTCTCTGCGCGCTGAGCTCCTTCATGTTCGGGTGGCACGTGCACGAGAAAGCGGTGCTCCTCGCCATCCTCCCTTTGAGGTAAGTGAGGCGCAACGGGGATCCTGAGGCTGCCTAACTAGCAACCTGGAGCATAAGACTCTGGAACATAGCAAGGCGATTGGATCGTGCCTGGCCTTGAACCCCACCGTGAAATGCTTACAAACTCAAGCACAGAATTATCATCAGTTCTAGAAGAAGTTTGCGGGGAGGGCAGGGTATAAATGTAATAAAATAAATAAATAAATAAGTAGGAGAAGAGGAGATTGGATGTATACCCCGCCCTTCACTCAGAGCGGCTTACAGTCTCCTTTCCCTTCCCCTCCCCACAACAGACACCCTGGGGCCGAGAGAGCTCTTTCGAGGACTGCCCTTGAGAGAACAGCTCTGAGAGAACTTGTGACTATTGGGTGCAGTAAATAAAGGAAGAAGCTGGAGACCAACTGGTGAGGAAGGTGCATAAAGTTTATGTAGAGATAATGGTGAATATTTACACAGAGATTATACAGACTGTCACACAGCATAACATACCTTAGTTGGAGACGAATTAGGGACTTGCATTGGCAGAGAGGTACAAGGAAGCTCCTGCCAGACCATGACATCCTTGTTCTCTCTGCCGCTTAGGTTTATTCTTCTTCTTGTTGTTTTTGGATTTTTTTTGGTACTTGTGTGCATGTGTGCTTGCGTGCCTGGACCCTGGCTGTAATTGCCTTAACCACTTAGCATGACAGCAAAGACTTACATACATAGATCGTTCTGATCTAGTAACTGCTTGCTACCTCACCTATCAAGACATATATGTCAATAGAGACTGACCCAAGGTTACACCAGCAGCTGCAAGTGGAGGAGTGGGGAATCAAACCCGGTTCTCCCAGATTAGAGTCCGCTCTAAACGTTTTATTTTCGGCTGCGCTGGGCTAACCTGGGGATGCGTGGCCAGTGCTTGTGATGGGCTCAGGGACTAATTGGTGCTTGAATTAGGGACTTGCATTGGCAGAGAGGTACAAGGAAGCTCCTGCCAGACCATGACATCCTTGTTCTCTCTGCCGCTTAGGTTTATTCTTCTTCTTGTTTTTGGATTTTTTTGGTACTTCTGTGCATGTGTGCTTGCGTGCCTGGAAGTCGTGGTGATTTCTGGCGACCCCTAGTGGGGCTTGGACGTTTCAGAGAGGCGGCTTGATATTTGCCTGCCTCTGCATCCCAGCCCTGGTATTCCTTGGAGGTCGCCCTTCCAAGTACTTGCCAGGGTCGGCCCTGCTTAGCTTCCGAGATCTGAGAAGATCGGGCCAGCCTGGGCTATCCAGGTCAGGGCTCTGCTGCCTAAGCTTCTGACCCTAAGAAGAGTTTGCTGTAAGTCCAACTAGGCAGCACGATGCATGGTGGATCAACAGCTTCCAGTGTTCACATGTTCCCTTTTAATCTGCCGCCAGCACTTTGTACTTACAATGTTTTACTGTATGGTGTATATTGTGTATTTTAATGTATTTTTATGGAAGCCACCCTGAGCCCGCTTGCGGGGAGGGCGGGGTATAAATTTGATAAATAAATAAATAAGAAGAGTTTGCTGTAAGTCAAACTAGGCAGCATGATGCATGGTGGATCAACAGCTTCCAGTGTTCACATGTTCCCTCTAAGCTGAGTTAGTGTGAGCTAGCTCAGTTTTTCAGCCTCCAGCTCACATTTTTCTCTTCGCTCAGGAAAGATGGCGCCAGAGCAAACTAACTTATGCAGTAGCCAAATAGCTCGCTCACAACTTTAATGCCAGTAGCTCACAAAGTAGAATTTTTGCTCACAAGACTCCACAGCTCAGAGGGAGCATTTGACGTGAGCGTGCTCTACTTTGAGGCTTCCCCAGCAAGACTCAGTTCCCGGCAGATTGTCACCACGTGAGGACTGCCGTTTGTAACGGTAACCCAAATCTGTCCTAAAGTATCAGTGTCTGCTGTCAGTGTGCCACAGTTCCATGGGAGAATAGAAAATGGGCAAAAGGCATTTTCACACACAAAGTCTGGCTTCCTAAGAATCCTGACTGTGATAAATAAGGAAAGTTTCTAGTCCTCATGACACTGAAGATACACTTGAAGTTCCGTGGTCGTTGCTTGCCGATGGGTCCAAAGCCGGAGAGGACGGTGAATAAAAAATTTCCACTGGAGTGGACCTCCGATAACGTTTCCTCTCATATAAATAAAGTAATAAATTATGCAAAATAATATGCGAAAGTATAAATTATGCAAACCTAACTCACAAGTTGCAGAATTTCTCTTTCTGTGGATACGGAATTTTTTTGCTGTTTAGGACTTTGCAAAAACAGTAAAGATGATAAATAAAGATACAGGATTTTAATTTTTCTGAGTGCCGTGTGCACGCAGCTCAAAATACTCAGCCAAAGCTCCACTTCTACCTCGCAAGCACTGTGCAGGGGCTCCATTAAATGATTTATTCAAGTCCAGCTACAGGTCTTTCTCTGCCAGGTTGCTGCCAGATTTATTTATTGCTTTGGAATGTCTTCAGCTTCCGTTGAGCTCTCTCGAAACATTTTTTAAACATCACTGGAGGAGCCAGTTTGGTGTAGTGGTTAAGTGCGCAGACTCTAATCTGGGAGAACCGTGTTTGATTCCCCACTCCTCTACTTGCAGCTGCTGGATGACCTTGGGCAAGCCGTAGTTCTGGCACAGCTGTCTTTGAAAGAGCAGTTCTCGAGAGAGCTCTCTCAGCCCCACCCACCACACAGGGTGTCTGTTGTGGGGAGGGGAGGGGAAAGGAGTTTGTAAGCCGCTCTGAGACTCCTTCGGGTAGTGAAGGGCGGGGTATAAATCCAATCTCTCTTCTTCTTCTTTTACCTCACAGGGTGTCTGTGGTGGGGAGGGGAAGGGAAAGGAGTTTGTATGCCGCTCTGAGACTCCCTTGGGTAGTGAAGGGCAGGGTATAAATCCAATCTCCTCCTCCTCCTCTCCTCCTTTCTGAAGAAGTCAGCTACGGTTGCTTTAGAAAAAGTAAACGCAAGGCCTCTTTTGCATTTTAGCTTGCTGTCTGTGGAGAGATCGAGAGATGCCGGCATCTACCTGATCCTGTCCGCTACAGGGCATCTCTCCCTCTTCCCCCTGCTGTTCACGGCACCAGGTAAGTCCTCTCTGTTCTCTTCCCCGCCTCCTCCTTTTCCCCAAGGTTTCTCCTTCTCTAACTTTTTTTTTAATTAAAACTTTATTATTGATAAATACATATACAACAATAGTCAATACAAGTTCAAAACATGTGAAGAGCAACTGAGTAGTACAAATAATAGTATAATGATAACATAATGTGAAAAGTAAATGTATTAACAATCAATATATAACATGTATCAATTTGGTGTCGTGGTTCAGTGCGCGGACTCTAATCTGGGAGAACCGGGTTTGATTCCCCACTCCTCCACTTGCACCTGGCTGGATGACCTTGGGCAAGCCATAGCTCTGATATTTTGAAAAAGAATTTCAGCTGCAATAATTGCAAGAT